CCCCCCAATTAAGACCCCTTACATTCCAGGAAATTATGTGTATTTTCATCAGCTTTTAATAAGTAGTTGCCTCCCTTTGTTCCTTGGGATTCCATCTTTGTACTTCACTCCAACCTTCAGATTCTTTCTCTCATAAACTCCTTTTAATTTTGGTGAAACCACTGTGCTTTTGTTTTTTGATCGCATCATTGTTTTCATCTCCTTTTTCCTACTGTCTATCTTCAAAAATAGGGCCATAGCTTCCCATTCGCATCCTTCAAAGCTAACACCGTATGTTTTGGCTTTGTATTTTTTGGTTTTCTTTTCGGAATGATTTTTAATTTTGATAAGGGTAGGATTTGCAGGGAGTAGTTGTAATGGTCTATCTTCCATTACAACTTCCCATAGATCATAGGCTTCAAGATATAATTTCATTTTCACTGACCAAATCTGATAGTTTTCACCAGTGAAAGTTTGGGGGCATTCAAAGAGAGATTGTTGCTTACCATGTTTGAAAATGGGTTTAAAAATAGATATTGGTTAAAAATGATTTGAAAATGGTTCTTTGGAAGAACTCAGAGATCCCGTAAAACCAATGGGGCTCTTGATACCACTGTTGGTTTTGTAAAAGATGGGGCAGCAAGATTATTAAAATTATTGATTGAAATTGTCTCTCTTTTTTAACAAACATAGAGGGCTTTAAATAGCCAACTTGAGAGCATAATATGCAGAAAAATCTGCATAACAAGAATTACCTAAAAAATCTAACAGAAATTTAAATTCAAAACATTAGATTCATCCTAAAACTAAGCTAACTTATTATGCCAAAAAATTGCAACAGTAACTGAAGCAAATCTTCAACAAATAGTCTGAATAACAGGTCTATGTGATTTTTAAAAGAAAGCATCTGTTCTGTTTAGTGGATTTCTTTTAACAGTTGCAAATTGATTTTAGCAGCTTCCTTTTATGCTCAGAATTTTCTGAGTGAAACCCGCGATTGGATAATATCTTCATTGTTCTCCGTTCTTTTTAAGAATCACAAAAACAATTTTAGCTAAATTCCAGTTATTGGTTAAGTGACATTTTTGAGGAGCCACTATCCCAGATGATACTGTATGTTAGCAATATTTTATAGATGCATTCCATAATTATATCGAAAACAGTTCAATTTCAAAAAAAATTGATTGCAATTTTTTTGTAAAGACAACTTCATTTCCACAGAATCCACTTTCCGCAAGTATAATAAAACACTAACTTCTCCTTAATAGTCGTCTCTAAACAAATGTGACATCTAAGCTGGGAGGAAGGAGTAGAACATTTTAATAAGTAATTATTAACTGTGAAGTACTGTTTCCATTGAACTTACAACCCGTGAAGAAATGAAAAACGGAAAGTCAGGGATATGTATATATGCTATTTCAAGCAGTGGGTAATACAAGTCAAATTCGAAAACCTATTTTTCAAGACCATTTGATACATTTGTGGGCTTCCCACTGTCTTTCACATCATAGGGCATGCACTTTCTGATTAGTCGGAATTGCTGCCAATGTTCCAATTTATATGACATTTTTTATTGGAAATGGAGCTTGAGAAAATAAGAGATTGCTGACATACAAGCTAAATATATATTATGTAAAAAAAGCACCCTTATATTCTAGTTGTCTTCAATATGCCATGTCAATTTCATGAGAGCATGTTATTTAGACAAAATGAGAATGTTAATAATAAAGAGTTCTCACATATAAGTACCGAAAGGTGTTGTATAACAGTCGGTGAAGTGGGTGAAAATCATGGGAGAGCAAAGTTCAAATCTCAAAGAGACATAAAACATTAGGTGATTTCTTCTCATCTGCCTAATCCTTGGCGGGTAGAGTTATCTGGTGCTTGTGTTGGGGAGATAGTAGGTACCTAGTGGAATAGTTGAGTTGTGTGCAAACTGGCCCAGACACTATTATCAATTTAAAAAAGGAGTTTCCAGATATAGAAAGTTGTTAATCTTCTTGGAACTAACAAAAAGAAAGATTGTGATATAAAATGGAATAGAGAGAGTAATTGTTATAACTCATAGAGAAACTTAAAATTCCTTAACAAAGAGAAAGGCATTGGGAGAATACTACTTATGTATTTGGCTTCAACAGATATGATTTGGTGGATTTAAGCAGACAGTCACTTTCCAAGCTTGCAAACCAGGTCTACTTGGATGCAATATCTGCTTTCCGCCGTGAGGATTCTAAAGCATTGAGTCTGCATAGTCAGAAATTCCTTCAACTCATCAAGGACATTGACAGGCTTCTAGCAGCTGATGACAATTTTCTACTTGGAACGTGGCTGGAGAGTGCCAAAAATTTGGCTATGAATTCTGATGAGAAGAAGCAGGTCAGAACAGCTAAATGAAGATTCTTTTTTTATTTTTATGAAGAGCTAAATGAAGATTCTTGTATCTTCTATCAACTTGAGTAACTTGATTTAACAGGAAAAGAAGAATGAGAGTGAAATTTGTTAAGTTGAAATAACTTAGCTGGTAGTGTCTTAGCATGTCTCTTGCCTTTGTAGAATAATAGAAAAACAGACGATGAAAAGAACCAGACAAGTGAATGTAGCTTCTCCTCCATTTGCTGGTCGTAGACTTTGTATGTAATCTAATTCTTCATGACTGTCTACTGATCCTTCAGTTTTTATTTTTAGTACGAGTGGAATGCAAGGACACAAGTAACTATGTGGTTCGACAACACAAAGTACAATCAGAGTCAACTTCATGATTATGGTAAGTTTTTTCTCCATCAGATTATTCGTATTCTTTGTATTTACTTTATATCGTAAAAATTGTTAAGAAATTTGATATTTTACTTGTCTTCACTCAGCAAACAAGTTTTGGAGTGGCTTATTGGAAGCATACTATCTTCCACGAGCATCAATGTATTTCAAGCTCCTTTCTAAAAGCTTGGAAGAAAAAATGGACTTCAAGTTGGAGGAATGGAGAAAAGAGTGGATAGCATATTCAAATAAGTGGCAAGAAAGTACAGAGCTTTACCCTGTGAAGGCTCAAGGAGACGCCCTTGCTATTTCTACTGCTCTATTTGAGAAGTATTTCAGTTGAGATGAGATTATCCATTTCCATAATCAAACATGAACAAAAATGGAAATCCCCGTCATTTGTATAATTGTTGTACACCTTATTACCGGGAAACTTTACATAACTGTTACAATTTAAAAGAAATATAACAAATTCGTAGCATGAAATCCAATATTACAGTTGTGGCAGAAAAATATTTATATTTGTAGCACACAATTCCATTAAAATAAGAATATTAATTATTAATCTCTAAACATAAGAAATTTGAATGGAAAGTCAATAATTCTTTGTATAAAATTCATGCCTTTTTTTCTCTTTATCTATTAGCTTTCCTTCTTTTTCTTCATCTTCTTAATTTTATTTTCTGCTATATTTTCTAAATTTGTTCCATTCGTTTTCTTTTTAATTATCTTTCTTAATTTTTTCTCTTCCTTCTTTCTTCCTTTCTTAACATAAAGATTTTACTTCGATAATAATATACATTAATATATACAAAACGTATATAAAAAATATATATATTGAATTAACACATAAAATATATAAAAAATATACATAAAAAATAAATCTTCAATTAAGATGACACTTAGACATGTGAAATATACATAAGAAAAATATATCTTAAATTTAATTAAGATGGCATATAAATATACAAAAAACATATATATAAAAAATACATCCTGAATTAAAATGGCACTTGACATATAAAATATATTTGAAATATACATTAAAAATACATCTTAAAATAAGATGGCACTTCACAAATAAATATACAAAAATTATATACATAAAAATACATTTTGAATTAAAGTGATACTTGATATACAAAGTATAAAAGGCGTATAAATCAATATATCTTGAATTTATATAGCATTCACATATGCATCAGATTTTAAAAAATGGAGTGAAGAAATGTTGGGCTTAATTTTTGTAATATGCTAATAATGAAAAAAAAAAGTGCTCTTTATATAATAAACAGTAAATGATGCTATTTTTTTAAATAATAATTAAAAAAGAATAAAGTGTGTAAAAAACTCTAATGGTAATGGGTACTACTTCCTGTTTCCATCAAAATGTGAACAACTTTCCCTATTAGGAAGTTGGCGAGTACTTTATAACTCCACTAGAGATAATTTACCCAAGGCGTTTAATCCTAGCCGAGGCTCCTCAGAAGTAGCAATATCAGCTAATACCCACAACCCACAGAAGATAAAAAGTCCAGAATAAAAAATCAATCAAATAAGGGCGTATTTCAATTGTCAATGTGTATACAGGTGGATAACAAACAGAGGAATGACCAATGATTATAAGAATACACACTTGAAAAACTGATAGAGATCCATCTTTGAAGAAGAAAAAAGAACTATAAACTCCACCTTTTTCTTTTTCCTCCAAGTTGGGAATGAGTAGTTGGAAGACTAACTCTATTTTACATGATGTTGTCTTCTAAAATATCAGTATCTTCACACTAACATGAGATCCTAAACCAATTCCATCAGCAAAGGATCACCAGCTGCCATGAGTCTTATCAACTTTATAAAATCAGATTCAGTGGAAACAACCAATGGGTGCACAGCTGGTACTTGAGCTGAATAAAGATTTAACAAATTGGTCGACGATGCTCCTGTCTTATAAACCATTTTATTCAGCAAGGTGTCAAAGTTCTGAGGTAAATCCATGGCCATGAAGAACATGGGTACAGCAATTTTGTGGTGTATATCAAGATCACCAACTAAGTCTACAAGATCAACAAAGTCCTGAACGAAACGTTGAGGAACATAGAACACCTCAGAGCCGCACAAGGCGATGGTCTGATCAGTTGGGCCATTCTCCTTGTAATTGACTTGTAGGTGAACTGGCATTGTGCTTACTACTTTCTTCACCATCTCTGCTTGCTTAACAAACCATGAGGAGTCCTTTCCGTTGATCATGTTTCGAGATGTAGGCATCTGATTCAATTGATTGAGGGATGAATATTTGTTTTTAGGATAATTATTTTTCATGATGCAAAGGTCATATATGTTACCTTATTGGCGATCCACAACTTAGATTTGTCGGCTTGCAAAAGGTTCCAGTAGTTCAAAATTGTATTGTCCTGTAGGAAGAGAAATCCTTCTGTGCTATTAAATCTTTCGAATATCCTTGGAAGATACCTGAGAATGGATTTGAGTGTCAGCAACAAATGTACAAATCGGCTCCTTTCACATGGAACCAATCAACCTTTACAAAAGTAACAAACAAATTCAAAGTACTAATTGTATTAAACACGTCTTATTATGAATTACAGAAAATGGCCATACAGTAGTATGAAATGCACAAATCAACATGAACCATTTACCCCCAAAAAGGGAATGTGTTGATACTACTTACTAGAATATTTTGCAGAAGGACCAGTTTCATACGAAGGTGTCGCTAGATTACCATAAATAGGACTTAACATATTCTTCATTAAGGAATACTACCTATAACTGTTAGCCAGCTCATACAACCCCTGGGCTCCCATCCCAGCCGTTTTTAATAAATGCGCAAACCTCTGTAACTCTGTTTCCCACCCTAAGCACATTGCTACTCGAGATTCAATATAAAAACAATCTACGTAGAGTTACAGATCAGAGGCAACCAATAATGTTACATGGAAATTCAGCCTGCCCATTTCCACAAGATGAATGTCGTAAAAATACAGATGTTAGGTTTTGGTTGTATGGTATACAAAATTGGACAAGTAGAAATGATCACACTAAACAAATGATACAAGTAGCACACTTAAAGGATAAAATGATAAGGAAAACCGAAGATTGTTTGGCCATATCGTACATTTCCAAATACACGGTACCATATTATGACGATTGAAGGTGCCAATGGAGGAAGGTTGTCTCAAAAGACCAACAATATCTCGGAATCAATGCATACCTAGTGGACGAAAAAACCTAATGGAAGCAAAGGATCCATATAAGCGATACCAACTAGGACGGATTAAAGCTTCTAGTTGTTATACTTATGTTAAGCCTGGTATTTATCAGAAGTCTAAAAGCTCTTTCTAGACTGAGAGACTATATATGAATGCAGGGATCACATGTGCAAGATCACATGAATACCGACAGTGTTATCAAAGGCGAAAAACGCAAAAAAACTCTAAGATCCGTTGGGGCTTTAAGCGCAAAGCGCAAATAAAGCGTAGGCTTTTTTAATGAAAAAAGGCGCAAAGGGAGAAAAAATGCAAATATGTATGTGTCGTCCAAGACTAATAATTATAAGCATGAATAAAAAATATATGGAAAACGAAATTGGGAAAAAATCACGATAAAGTAAAATATCAATTGTTTAGCGTCTCCTCTTCAATATTACACTCATTGGCAAGGAAAAGTATGCCTTAGAGTCTTGATGACGACACTAAAGTGCCCACTAAGTGACGCGAAGCGTTAAACATATTTTGGGCCTCGCTTTAGGGCGTAAGCACGTTATAAGCGCACCTTTGACAACACTGGTTTTAGATAACCCCTGCTATGTCTTAAGAAAATTACCTCGTATAGGGATGAAATGGTTGCAAATAGAGAAAAAAAGTGTACAGACGATTCATATACCCGACCAACTTAATGGGTTAGACATAGTTGATTGATTAGTTTGAAAGCTGGAGGGAGAAAAACAATTTCATTAAGGAAACATGTCAAGTTTACTTGGAAAAGATAAAGTAGGCCATTTTTTCCTGGAAGGGAGTGTGTTTTCGGTGATATCAAAATGTAAGTATCGAAGAATTAGCTGGACATACAAAATATGATGCAAACTGATGGGAAGAAATACTTTGTGTTATGAATGTGTAAATAGAAAATAATGATGTCGTTAACTTACTTGTATGCTTGATCCAATTGTCCTTGCTCAACAGCAAGATCTGCATCAGCTTGTGTTGACAGTATAACCACAGTTTTGAAGATCCTGCCATATAACAATCTCCATTCTAATGCGGTTTGTTGCACGGGCCCAGTAACAAACATAATTAGCACAACATTGCCAAAATTCTTCCTCCACCTTATCAAGTTCCCAATTTCGTAATTTACTGTACCTGATTCCTCAGCACCAAGATGTACAGAAGGTAGTTTTCGGGGGACAAACTCCTTTTTATCTCCACGTTTGACAGCTGCCTTTTGCAGATCTAACTGTACTGCCATCAGTCTTGGCTGCTGATACCCAACAGCGGCCAAGTCTTGCAACCATGCAGCTGTAAATTTGACATCATTCTCGCTCCAAAACCCTTCTAGTGCCATTGAATGGCTCAATTCTAAGATTTTCTCAAACGACCTTTGTTTTTCAGATTTCCAAGAAACTAAAAATCTGATTAAGCGACCCACATTTACATGCAAATCTTTTTCGTCTGAAAATGGATATGCTTCAACATTGTCATCCCTATGTAGAGTAGGAGGATACACCACAACAAAGCCGCCAATCTCCCATAACAACCTTTGTGCCCAATAACCTCTTAAGACATCAGAAGCCATGGTGCTGACTGACACTGGGAGCATCAACGACCAAAACGCATTATAGTGAAACAATGTGTTGAATGAATTGATTGGCACCATTAGACCTTGAGGCAATGCCACTTTCGGGGCATGTTCATCAAATATAATATCAAATGCTTCTGACCCAGTCTTTCTTGTAGAATAAAAAACTGAATCAACATCAGGTAGCCCATTTGATATTCCTTGTTGTATGTATTGCCTTCCTCCCGACACTTCAGTATAGAACTCTTCATGATTTACAAAACCAACACTTTCCAGTGGCAATCCTCTAGGCCAAACTGACCTTTGCCCAAAATGTATATAAGGATTGACAACAGTCTTATTCTCAATCTCAAGACTGTACTGCAAAATCGTTTGCTTCTTAACAGTGGCGTCATCCAACTCCAAATCAAAATGTTTCCCCAGATCCCCACCAATCACTTCCCCGCGATCATCAGCATCAAATATTCTCTTTGCACCATGTTGGATTGCAAAAAGATACCCGACGCTCTTCCTCACATACGAATCATAAGGAAGGAAATCCACCACTCTAAACCCCAAACTCGCTTGTTGCTCCAGAGAAAGAAAAATTGCACCTTTCAAGCTCCAATCTTTCGGGGTTCTTGAATTGCCTATTGCAAGAACTTGCCAACCCTTTAACCTAACAAGACTTTGGAGTG